TCTTTCCAGACCGTCTCCAAACAGATGAGAAATTCATAAGTAGTTGTCCTTCTGCCTGAATGCTCCCATGGGCTTGATAATCTGGGCTGCTGGGGAGTATTGGAGGCTGGAGGAGCTGAGGGGACAGGCACAGGATTAGGCCCAAGGCAAAGGACACCTCCTTGGGTGCTATGATGCCCAGAGCAATAAGACACGTCCTGGTCTCCTGCATATTCCTCAGCACAGCAGAGACTCACAAAGGGAGGGCAAGACATCTGTAATAAAAAGCAAACTGGCCAAAATTCACCAAGCAAAGTTTTGATGACCTGGACTCCTAGTCCTAAGCCCTTTCCATTGCAGGAGCACCAGGAAAATGAACTCCGAGCCTCCCCTACCTGAATTTGATGTTTTGGTTTATAAGGGCAGCATAAACGCTTACGGGGACAACCAGGTCTAGAAGACAGACGCGAGAGATGCTCTTGATTGTCAGCCCTGCCACTGACTTGCTGAGTTACCTTCACTCCACCAAAGCCTGGCCCATTACCTAAAGCCAGGGATGAGGATACGCGGTTTTGTTATAGCCAGTACCACCTACAGCAGAACCGCAGTGGTAAATGATCAGCATGTGTTATAAACGCTGCTACTGACACCTCTTCTCTAAACAAGACAACCTAGAGAAAGGATATCTCAAATCAAAGCTAAATGGGATGAGATGCGGGTCACCAGCTCTGCGCTCCATCGGCTCAAAGCCAGCTTGCAGGCATTCTCAGCTCCCTTCACGGAAAGCATTTCCACTGCAACACCTGGCAACCGATAGCTCTCAAGTCACATGCATTTGACCACTACCACAGAAAATAAAATAAATTAATCAACTACACTGTTCCTTAAGTGCCAAGGTCAAGGCGGACCACTGCAAGCCATCCAGTCTGACCTGTTGCATGACACACCACCAGCTCCAACCACCAGTTCCAGCCTCAAGCCCAGTAACTCACAATGATTTTTTATCCAGCTTTTTCCTTAGCTCAAATCCTCTCTCAGACATGCTTCTGCTGCAAACAACTGTCTGATCTCAGCAGCTAAACATACAGAAAACAGAAACAAAATAAAATACCTTTTGCTAACTGAAGTCCAAGGCTTCAGGACTATTGTTCACTGGGCGATGCCTTTGCTGTAGGTAGCATTTCCTTTTGTTTCAGAACAAAAAGCGCTGTGCATCGGGGCCATCCACATCCTGCCTTCAACCCTCCTACACAGCCTTTTGGACAGTCACAGTTTTGGCAGCCAGTACAAGCAGAGTGTCCCAAGCCTCCCTCTTCCCACCCCTACTCTTACTAATGCGTTCCATGCTCGCAGCCTTTCACACAGTCCCAGCTCCGCTGCTGCTCCCGGCGGGGAGCTGGTGCTGGTCCTCGGGAGCTGGTGCTGGGCTCTGGTGACAAGACTGGCAGCCACTTATAAAGGCTGCCTCCCTCCTTTTCACTTTGGCTAGCAAAATGCTTCCCAAGCGCCTCCACCTCTGGGCTACAAAGAAGGAAACATATCGTGAACGTAGCTCTTCCCTCTCTTGGCAGGCTGCAGGACGTGGCACGTTTCCATCTGCACAAGGCTACAAGATGTTTGCAGAAATGAGAACTAAGAGCCGCGACCCCTCTACCCCTCACTCCTCCCTGGACTGCAAAGCTCCTTCCAGAGGTCTCCAGAAATCACGAGTGAAGATGTTACTCAACAGCCACAGCTGAGGCTTTAATTTCAACATGTCCTGCAAAATACACGCTTCAGCGCTCACCCACACTACACGAACCCAGCATCTGCACACAACCCTCGCTGGCTCTTGGAGGTGTGGAAATGCTTTGAATGCATACAGTTTACTAAATAAAAATCTACATTGGTTATTTCCTCCCCTCCCCCCCCCAAAGTCACAAATTATTCTGGGTCCCTCAAACTCCAGGCACCTGGGGCAAAGGACCCAAGGAATCAGAGCATCTGGAAATGGGATGCCCAAACCCACATCAGCCCAATGAACCACTTTCCTGAAGGCTTAGGGTTTTTTTAAATGCATAATTCTGATGTAAGCGCTGAAAAACATCAGGGTGCTCGTGGGATAAATGCTACCTTATGATAAAAGCGAAGCCCCTTCTCTAATAAACACTGCCTAACTTAGATAATGTAAAAATTACAGCATATATTAATAACAGTGACCAGGACATAAAATCAACAGCAACAATAGTACATGAGCAGAGGCTCGCCCGAACAGAAGGTTTCTCTCTATTCCCCATCATAGAAGCAGTGGCAAGGAGCTGTTATGACTTCATTTTATTTTTATTAGTTTTTACAAGCCAGCTATGCTAAAAGGTTGCACCAGTAATTTAAAGTGCAGTTGTCAGCAGAAGTGAAGGATATTGTGGGATACATTTTATTCTAGCTCTTTTATTGCTGGGCTCCTTGGAGTGATTCAAGCAGCTTAAGGATTGTAGAGGTACTGTCACAATATCTGGCCCTTAGCAAGCTGCCATTTAAAAAAAAAAAAAAAAAAAAAAAAAAACCAAAACCCCCAATTTTTAAAAAAATGTCCGGAACAA